TGATGCTCTCAGACTTCATCTACACGGAATTTGTCTTTAACTAATCAAAAATGTTGATCAAATTCACTCATCATGCAATAAACTATGTCAACGAGTGTCAAACATCTCTTTTTTTAATCCAAAATGGTGTTTTGAAAGCAAGACAGAACAGTGATTTTTTTACTTTTTACACAACAACCCATACCCCTGAAATTGTGAATTTTTAACGCGATAATCTGACAAATTGTGAAAAAATAAACAAGATTGAATCATCACCTGCAGTCACTTTATTCATACATTAATAATTATGTTTTTAGTTTAAGCTTTCTTCTTTTTATTTCCTCAAATATAGCAATCAAATTCTCAAGATTGTCATTTGTCAGTTCATTATTTTGTAAAGCAATCCTGCCAATTGTGAATTTTTTTACACATTTTTGTGAATTTTTTATGTTTTTTTTTGGCATTGTGAAGACACCTTATTTCGGGGTCAAAGTTAATAAAAACTAGAACTATCACTAAATGTGATTAATACCCCCACAAGTCTGCTTCGGAAATGAGGATGTTACTAGTAACAGAATACCTTGTAAAAGAATTGAAACATAGAGTTATGGTTGTGGGCAATTAAAGATAATTGTGGTTCATGTATGTTGCATTTCCTTTCAATGTGGTTGGCCATTGATGAAGTTTAATTGAATTACTCTGTAATAAGTCCAGAAAGACAAAGAAAAAGAACAAAGGGCAATAACTCTATAAATACTGAAGATAGAGTTATAGTTCTTGCGCATTGCACTTCCTCTTATTGTGCTTGACCATTGTATGAACTTGTTTTAAATTCCAACCAGTACGTTTTAAGTTATGCTCCGGACAAGGAAAAGTATCAAAGGGCAGTAACTCTGTATTTTGTCAAAATGGAGTTATGGCTCTTGTGCACTGCACTTCCTTTGAATGTCCTTGACAACTGTATGAAGTTGTACTGAATTCCAAACAGTAGTTTTCAAGTTATGCTCTGGACAAGGAAAAGTAACAATGGGCAATAACTCTGTAATTAGTCAAGATGGAGTTATGGTTCTTGTGCACTGCACTTTCCCTTATTGTGCTTGACCATTGTATGAAGTTGTTTTGAATTCCAACCAGTAGTTTTCAAGTCATGCTCTGGACAAGGAAAGGTAACAAAGGGCAGTAACTCTGTAATTTGTCAAGATGGAGTTATGGTTCTTATGCACTGCAATTCCTCTCAATGAGCTTGACCATTGTATGAAGTTATACTGAATTCCAACAATAAGTCTTCAAGTTATGGTCCGGACAAAAGAAAGCAATGGAAAAGTAACAAAGGGCAATAACTCTGTAATTAGTCAAGATGGAGTTATGGTTCTTGTGCACTGCACTTCCCCTTATTGTGCTTGACCATTGTATGAAGTTGTTTTGAATTCCAACCAGTAGTTTTAAAGTCATGCTCTGGACAAGGAAAAGAATCAAAGGGCAGTAACTCTGTAATAAGTCAAAATGGAGTTATGGTTCTTGTGCACTGCACTTCCTCTCAATGTGCTGGACCATTGTATGAAGTTATAATGAATTCCGACAATTAGTCTTCAAGTTATGGTCCAGACAAAAGAAAGCAATGGAAAAGTAATAAAGGGCAATAACTCTGTAATTACTTAAGATAGAGTTATGGTTCTTATGCACTGCACTTCCTCTCAATGTGCTTGACCATTGTATGTAGTTAAATTGAATTCCAACCATTAGTCTTCATTCAAGTTATGCTCCGGACAAAAAAAAGAAGGCAATTGAAAAGCAACAAAGGGCAATAACTCTGTAATTACTTTAGATAGAGTTATGGTTCTTGTGCACTGCACTTCCCCTTAATGTGTTTGACAATTGTATGAAGTTGTTTTGAATTCCAACCAGTAGTTTTCAAGTTATGCCACGGACAAGGAAAAGTAACAAAGGGCAATAGCTCTGTAATTAGTCAAGATAGAGTTATGTTTCTTACGCACTGCACTTCCTCTCAATGTGCTTGACCATTGTATGTAGTTATATTGAATTCCAACCATTAGTCTTCAAGTTATGCTCCGGACAAGGAAAATGCAACGGACAAAAAAAAAAGCAATGGAAAAGCAACAAAGGGCAATAACTCTGTAATTACTTTAGATAGAGTTATGGTTCTTGTGCACTGCACTTCCCCTTATTGTGTTTGACAATTGTATGAAGTTGTTTTGAATTCCAACCAGTAGTTTTCAAGTTATGCCCCGGACAAGGAAAAGTAACAAAGGGCAATAACTCTGTAATTAGACAAGATAGAGTTATGGTTCTTGTGCACTGCACTTCCTCTCAATGTGCTTGACCATTGTATGTAGTTATATTGAATTCCAACCATTAGTTTTCAAGTTATGCTCCGGACAAGGAAAATGCAATGGACGTCTGGACCAACCGACCGACCGTCCGACCAACCGACCGACCACCGGGTGACTCCTATATACCCCCCCAAACTTCGTTTTTGGGGGTATAAAAAATCACTGACTCCGTGACTGTTTGTTAAGTTTCCGGTTACTTCGTGGAAATTTCATTTTCTTGTTTAAGATACAAGTTTGTAGTTGCCCTAGATCGCTCACCTGACGCATCGAACTCATCCGAGCAATTACCTAGACAAGCATTCTGACCAAGTTTCATGACAGGTAAGTGAAAAATGTGACCACTAGAGTGTTAACAAGGTTTTTTCCAAATTTGGGCAGTGTGACCTAGTTTTTGACCCCAGTTGACCAATATTCAAACTTGACCTAGAAATCATCAAAACAAACTTTCAGACCAATTTCCAGGATATTTGGATCAAAACAGTAGCCACTAGAGTGTTAACAAGATTTTTCTGTTTTAAGCTTCTGTGACCTAGTTTTTTATTTGAGATGACCTATGTTTAAACTCATCCTAGTAATGACCTAGACAAGCATCCTGACCAAGTTTGATAACAATTGAGTAAATCAAAGTGCTGCAGCACTGAATGCGACATACATGAAACCGGAGAGACATTAAGGCTTTTTTAAAAAAAACACACACAAAAGATATAACAGAGAAAATTTGTTCCATACAAGTTCGAGATTTGTAGAGCAATATATTTTATGTGTCCCAATCTGATATAATTCAGATTTTCTACTTTCAAGCAGAACAAGTCCAAATTTTTAAATACAGAATGAAATTTATGCCTAAAAACTCTGGTCAATCTTGTAAATCAGTGTCCTTATCGATTTATTCCAAGAAATGATATGTAAATTGAAAAAAAACTGTCAACGAAATATTTCTAAAATAAAAACATGCAAATAAACTTCAAGCATTATACATAATAATTCAAGAATGTTAATTAGAATTGCTTCGTGTTATATCATAGTGGGCATATAGAAAATAAAATATAAGTCATTTGTATTTTTATTTTTATTTCTCTTGCATATGTCTCATTAAAAATATTTTGGTTAAAATCATCAGCAATTAATGGTGTATTTTTTTAGATTTTTTTTTCATTTACATCACTTAAGCACTACATTGTTAAGTTGTCCTTTCAATTTCACACTTAATTCCATTTTCAAATTGTTTGCTTCTTACAATTGTATAGAATTTCTTTAAACAAAGTATGTATCCGCTGGTTTATTACATGTATAATAAGTACTCGTCCGAACGTCAGAGATGATGCAGAATCTATTTTTAGAATAGTGTTATCTTCTGGTCGAAGGCTATTATAATCTCATAGCAGGTTAACTCATATCGTGACCTAGAAACTTATGTAAACAAAACACAAGAATCGGAAGTAGAACTGATATTATAACTTCCTTCAATAAAGATTACCATGAAAGACTACATGGTGGTTAAGTGTTGAAAAACTCCCTTGTTACATGCATTTTCAAAAATAGATATTTATAATTCAAATCATTGTACTGTAGTCTAATTTATTAATAACTGCTGGATATTCAGCTAAACCCGCGGTATGAGTCACGAAAAGAGTTCTTCTTTTATTGATGCGCGAGTTATTCTAAAGTCACGAAAAACTTTTGATCTGTTAATAAAAATGTTTTGTTTAATGGGGAAATATTTATTTCCTGCTAATAATTTCTATGAATTATTGAGCTTACTCCTTAATTAGAGCATAATTTGCTGTTCTACTTTTTCGACAGCGGTAAATCGTTTCAGCAGTTATTTGCATAATTGCACAATAATACTACGGGGCTACAACGTTTTAATCAATCAAATACGTTTATAATTTAACTTGGATAACTTAATTTGAAATTGAAAAGGCTAAATATGGAAGTTTTTAAGATATCCCGACGAAGTATGGGAGTTTCATAGGATCAAATTCATGTACTATTTCGTGGGCTGTTATTCGGTTGAGGACACATTGCGCGATTGTAGTCGACGAAATCCCATGTGTAGATGACATAGCTCTGAACGCGCCTGAGGGCGCATCCGTCGCAAAAATGTGACCACTAGAGTGTTAACAAGGTTTTTCTATTTTAAGCTCCCATGAGCTAGTTTTTCATCCGAGATGACCCATGTTTGAACTCATCCGAGCTATTAAATAGACAAGCATCCTGACAAAGTTTGATGATGACTGAGGCAAAAATGTGACCGCTAAAGTGTTAACGAACAAGTGTGGACGGACGACAGACATTCAACGATCCTAAAAGCTCACACTGAGCTAAGCTCAGGTGAGCTTAACAGGGATAATCTTAATAATAATTTTACAATCTATTTAGTAATGACAGAGTTATAAGGCTTATATATTGGATTTGATCTTTGACCTCCGGTAATCACCTTGACCACAAAATGCGGACATTAGTCTTGCATGCAACATGCCAGTGGTGAAGATATTTGCAAAATATTTTGACAATCCATCAAATAATGACAAAGGTATTATGCAAAATGGATTAGACATTTCATCTCCAGTAACCATGAACATGCGGACATAAGATGTATAAACCTATCTGTGGATGTTTCTAAATTCAAAATTTTATCATTACATGTATGTTGATAAATATATTTACATCAGTGATTTTTGTTACTCCAAGCAGGGCACAATCTGGATCACGGAAATCTATTTTCCTCCATTCATCTATCACCTGTAGATATAATATTTGTCAAATACAGTTCATGTACATCTTACAGTATTACATCCTAATTCAATACCGTCTCTATAATGTAACTATATTAAGTTTTGAAAATTTATATATTTTTACAAATTTTTTATTATTTCATATTATACACTAAAAGCGATTTTCTTAAATTCTGTATTTCATATTCTAACACTCTTTGTGAATTTGTCACTATACACAAACAAGAGTGCCAAGATGACTTTACATCACTCACTTGACACATCGAACTCATCCGAACAATCACCAAGACAAGCAATATGACCAAGTTTCATGACAGGTAAGTCAAAAATGTGACCACTAGAGTGTTAACAAGGATTATCCATATTTGAGCAGTGTGACCTAGTTTTTGACCCCTGGTGACCCATATTCAAACTTGACCTAGAAATCATCAAAACAAACATTCAGACTAATTTCCAGGATATTTGGAAAACAACAGTAGCCACTAGAGTGTTAACAAGATTTTTCTCTTTTAGCTCCTATGACCTAGTTTTTCCTCCGAGATGACCCATGTTCGAACTCATCCGAGCAATTACCTAGACAAGCATTCTGACCAAGTTTGAAGATGATTGAGTCAAAAATGTGACCACTAGAGAGTTAACAAGGTTTTTCTATTTTTAGATCCTGGGACCTAGTTTTTCATGCGAGATGACCCATGTTCGAACTCATCCGAGCAATTACCTAGACAAGCATCCTGACCAAGTTTGATGATGATGATTGAGTCAAAAGTGTGACCACTAGATTGTTAACAAGGTTTATCTATTTTTAGCTCCTGTGACCTAGTTTTTCATCTGAGTGACCCATGTTCGAACTCATCCGAGCTATTATCTAGACAAGCATCCCAACACAATTTGATGATGATTGAGGCAAAAATGTGACCGCTAGAGTGTTAACAAGGTTTTTCTATTTTTAGCGCCTGTGACATAGTTTTTCATCCGAGATGACCCATGTTCAAACTCATGCGAGCTTTTACCTAGATAAGCATCCTGACAAAGTTTGATGATGATTGAGGCAAAAATGTGACCGCTAGAGTGTTAACGAACAAGTGTGGACCGACGACAGACGACGGACATTAAACGATCCTAAAAGCTCACCCTGAGCTAGCTCAGGTGAGCTAAAAAGAAGAAAAAACCCCAGTGTTAAACTGCCGATAAACACTGGTTAGGGATTACATGTATAATGATGTGGCTGTTATTTTTTTCTTCCTCGATAATATAGTTTTAAGACAACAATTATAAAGCATTGTTACTGCTATTTTCCGTTCTTACAATGTTTTCTTTTCATATTATGCTGAAATAATATCTAACATACACTACAGTCACCGGTTTGATTCATATCAGTTCATAAAATTTATATGACAAATCGGCACCAATTAGTAAGCAGCGTAATGACGTCATCCTAAGTATACAACTCATTCATAAAGGCGCTAGAATGACGTCATTTTAAACTAATTATGCAATGATGTAAACACATTATGTTATAGTATATCGAACTTGACTGTTATGCGGAAAGGGCCTGGGGCGACATTTAGGGGTTTTCTCTACAGAAAATGATCGAGGCCGTAAGGTCGAGAACATTTTATATAGGGAAAACCCGAGATTTGCCCCAAGCCATGATATTTCCACATAAAAGTTTGTCATACTATAACTGTTTAATCGCATAATAAACATATATAACAAGAGCTGTCACAGGAGACAGTGAAGCTCTACTAATTAAATACTGGACGCAGAAAGGAAGACTAAACTATAAACCGTGTTACAAAGTCTTGTAATTATAGGTCTATATACTATAGGTTAATTATCATATTGTTACAATGGGATTACAGTGTTTTTTTCTGGTTTTTCTTCTTCTTTCATTACCAGTAAAATGTGTTTCATGACAAGTTTACAGTATGCTTTTTTCATAATTGATATAGAATAAAATATATTTAATAAACAAGAACGTGTTTGTTAACACAAATGCCCCCGGCTCAGATTCTTGTCAGTAGCAATATTTCAAAAAATGTTTACCCATTCACTCAGTTATGGACAGAAAAATTGCCAAAAAATTGTAAACACAAGCTATATAGCTTGACAAAGTCATGGCATTTTGTAATTGTGAAAAATATAAGTTGCCAAGTCATTGCTCTGACTTGTGAAGTTGAAAAATTTCAACTTCATGCAAGTTATCTTCCTACCAAATATGAAATACATCTGTCATTAAATAAAGGCTGTATGGGCAAAAGTGTAAAGATCTATTTTGAGCACTCAGGTGACCTTGACCAAACTGACCCTAACTCTATCCAAATGAAGAATACCATGTAAGTTATCTTCCTACCAAATATGAAATACACCTGTCAATAAATAAAGGCTGTATGAGCAAAAGTGTAAAAATCTATTTTTAGCACTGGTGACCTTGACGCAACTGACCCCTTACTCCATCCAAAGGAAGAATACCATGCAAGTTATCTTCCTACCAAATGTAAATTACATCTGTCAATAAATAAAAGCTGTATTGGCAAAAGTGTAAAAATCCATTTTTAGCACAAGTGACCTTGACCCACTGATCCCTACCCCCAATCAAAAGGATGAATACCATGCAAGTTGTCTTCCTACCAAATATAAAATATATCTGTCACTTAATAAAGGCTGTATGAGCAAATGTGTAAAAATCTATTTTTAGCAATGGTGACCTTGACCTAGCTCACCACTAACTCCATCAAAGTTTATGTTTCTATCAATTATAAATAACATCTGTCTATAGAATAAGGTTAATACACCTGTAAAAATCTATTTTTAACATTGGTGACCTTACATTGGTAACATTGACCTTGACCCAAATGACCCCTTACTACACCCAAAGAAGGAGGACCTCCCTTGGCATGTTTGTATTAAACTAAGACATCAACTAAAAAATAAAGGCTGTATGAGCAAAAATGTTTATATTTATTTTTTAAACAAGTGACCTTGACCTTGACCCTAGAGACTGCTTACTCCACAAAAAATTAGAGGACCATCAAAGGTATCCACCTACTAAAAACGAAAGATATCATTAAAGAAATTAAGCAATTAGGAGAAATTTAAGATAAATCCAACTTGCCGAAATAGGTTAACCAGACAAGGCCCTGTTTTCAAAGTGAAAAAAGGGAAATAACTGGGAAATATGGATGACACAGTTATATAACTTGGCAATATCATGTACTTTGTATTGATAAGTAAGTGTGGAAATTATAAAGCCATTAGTATAGATAGAACTTAAGATATTTCCAACTTAAGTGCTGAAAGGGCAATAACTTGAAAATATGAAAGCCAGAGTTATGTAACTTGCCCAGATCATGTACTTTGTATTGATTAGTAAGTGTTTAAACTAAGAAGCCATTGGTACAGGTAGAACTTAAGAAAAATCCAACTTGCCGTTCTAGGTTAACCTCGTACGGACGGACGGATGGACGGACGGTTCAATTACTATATGCCCGCGGGCATAAAAATAAATTGGGATATAAATATATATCTTCTTACAACAATAAGTTATATGTGTTAACATAAATTCCAAGTTCAAGGGGAATAATACTTGAAACAGTCACACTATGTGGCTAGAGTTATGGACCTTGCACACAACATGTGTGTTATGATTTCAAGTTTGAAGTAGATACCTTAAAAAGTAAAGAAGTTATAATATTTCTTAAAGAAAATTCTAATTTCAAAGGGAGATAAATCTGAAAATATTGCTTCAAGAGTTATGAACCTTGTCACGTAAGATGTGGTTGATGATAAGAAGTTTGAGGTATATACTTTTTAACTAAAGAAGTTATAGTAAACTAGAAATGTGTCCATAGGACACGGATGCCCCCACACGCCACTGTTCTGTCAATCTTATGACTCTAGGTCAAATATTTTTTGGACTACATGTGCAACAAGTTGAAAACTAAAAATCAACAAAGGGCCATAATTCTGTTAAATTTGGTTGCAGCAAAAATTTTACCTTTACTACCACCTACACATTAAGGTTGTTAATCACTGGAAGTTTAAGCAAAATCTGCCATCTGGTTTAAGAGGAGTTGCGTTCACAAAATTTCTACATAGTATATAATGAAAAAAACAACAAGGGCCATAATTCTGTTAAATTTGGTTGCAGCAAAAATTCCTACCTTAACTACCACCTACACATTAAGGTTGTTAATCCCTGGAAGTTTAAGCAAAATCTGCCATGCGGTTTAAGAGGAGTTGCATTCACAAAATTTCTACATAGTATATAGTGAAAAAATCAACAAAGGGCCATAATTCTGTTAAATTTGGTCGCAGCAAAAATTCCTTCCTTTACTACCATCTACACATTAAGGTTGTTCATCCCTGTAAGTTTAAGCAAAATCTGCCATGCGGTTTAAGAGGAATTGCATTCACAAAATTTCTACATAGTATATAGTGAAAAAATCAACAAAGGGCCATAATTCTGTTAAATTTGGTTGCAGCAAAAATTCCTTCCTTTACTACCATCTACACATTAAGGTTGTTCATCCCTGTAAGTTTAAGCAAAATCTGCCATGCGGTTTAAGAGGAGTTGCATTCACAAAATTTCTACATAGTATATAGTGAAAAAATCAACAAAGGGCCATAATTCTGTTAAATTTGGTCGCAGCAAAAATTCCTTCCTTTACTACCATCTACACATTAAGGTTGTTCATCCCTGTAAGTTTAAGCAAAATCTGCCATGCGGTTTAAGAGGAGTTGCGTTCACAAAATTTCTAAATAGTATCTAGTGAAATAATCAACAATGGGCCATAATTCTCTTAAATTTTGTCGCAGCAAAAATTCCTTCCTTTACTACCATCTACACATTAAGGTTGTTCATCCCTGTAAGTTTAAGCAAAATCTGCCATGCGGTTTAAGAGGAGTTGCGTTCACAAGATTTCGGGACGTACGGACGGACGGACGGACTGACGGACAGACAAGTGCAACGCTATATGCTTCCACATTGTGGGGGCATAGAAATAA